GCAGGCCCACGTTCATCATGCTGTACATGGTGTACATGTTACAGATCTGCCGGGTACTGCTCGTCCGAGCCTTCCTCGCCCGCGTCCTCCTCCTCGTCCTCCTCGTTGTGGAAGGAGCCGGGGCTGTCGCTGGTGTAGGCGCTGGACGTGCCCCCGGGGCTGGTCTGGTCTGCAGCCGTGCCGGGCACCGGGGCCGGCACCGGGACAGGGGTGGTGCCACCGCCGCCGGTACCGGCACCGGCCCCGGGCGCGCTCTGGCGCGGCGCCGCCTCGGAGAACTTGGCCATTTTCCTGCTGCCGTTGTTGCCGGCGCCGGCCGAGGAGGAAGAGGAGGAGGAGGAGTCCTTGGCGGCGCCGTCCCAGAGGCGTTTGACCACGAAGGTGCACTGCACGCCGTCGGGCTCGCCCTGCTCCGTCTTGACCCGCGACACCAGGGGCAGCGCGGCCGGCCAGGCCTGCGCCGCCGAGGTCTGCGCCACCGGGCTCTGCGGGCTCCGAGCCCGGCGTGTCGTCCCCGTGCAGCCCCTGCGAGTCGCAGCTCGGGGAGCTCACCTGCAACGAGGGACATTTCTCGTCACGTTGGCCGGGAAAATCGCTCCGGGGCAGGGTTTGAGTGCTGGGAGGCTCAGGGGGAAAGGAAAATATATTATATGTGCAATTAGATGTAATGTATTGTGTATATGTTAATGTCGTTATATATAATGTAATATGATGTAGTGTAATGTAATATAATGTAGTATAATGTAATATAATGTAACATAATATAATGTTAATAATATAACATAATATAATATAATATAACATAATATAACATAATATAACATAATATAATGTAATATAATATAGTATAATGTAATATAACATAACATAATATAATATAATATAACGTAATATAATATAGTATAATATAATATAATATAACATAATATAATATAGTATAATGTAATGTAATATAATATAATATAATATAATATAATAATATAATATAATAATCAGCCTTTTTAACAGCACAGAGTCAGATTAATAATTTCCTCCTTCCTTTATATTACACGCATATTATATATTAATATATAATATAAATATAATAATCAGCCTTCTAAGAACCTTGGGAGTCAGATCCATCATTTCGTCCTTCCATTATATTACCCATACTTTATATATTAATATAATATAGTATAATATAGTATAATTATATAATAATATAATGATATAATTACGATATCATTAGGGTATGATATAATATGATGTAATAACATATATATAATATCACAAAATAACAAATCAGCCTTCTAAGAACACGGAGTCAGATTCATAATTTCCTCCTTCCATTACATTATATATTAATATGATATAATTAAGATATGATATAATTAAGATATGATACAGTATTACATGATACAATATGATGTAATACAACATATATAATATCACAAAATAATAAATCAGCCTTCCAACACCACAGGACTCACCTCCACCCTTCCCTCCTCTGCCCTGACCCCCAACCCCAGCCCCCAAACCCACCTTGAGGAAGAACTCGGTGCCCTTCTCCATGATCTCCTGGATCTGCAGGAAGCCCGCCGTGTACATCAGCAGGAACTGATCGCCCACGTTCATGCTCAGCCTCCCGGGTGTAGCAGAAGCTGAGGATCTGCTGGAAGCTCTGGGGCTGCACGGCGGCCGGCAGCTCCACCACGGCGCTCTTGGAGCTGTGGAAGAGGTCTCGGAAGTAGGAGCTGCTGGCGGCCAGCACGGCCCTGTGGGCTTTGAAGGCGTGGCCCTTGACCACCACCGAGACGTCGCAGAAGAGCCCCTGCAGGCGCTGCTCGTTCAGGCACTCCAGGATGCTGTTCCCGAAGTTGGGGATCTCCATCTGCAGCGTCTGCGCCATGGCGGGCGCCGGGCGGGGCCTGCGGGGCGAAACGGGGGCGTTGGGGGCGTTGGGGGCGGCACAGGGGGCACTGGGGACAGTGGGGACAATGGGGACAGCACAGGGGGCACTGGGGACACTGGGGACAATGGGGGAGTTGGGGGCGGTGGGGACAGTGCAGGGGGCACTGGGGACAATGGGGACAATGGGGACAATGGGGGAGTTGGGGATGGTGGGGACAGCGCAGGGGGGCACTAGGGACACTGGGGACAATGAGGGGACAATGGGGGCATTGGGGGGTGGTGGGGACAGCACAGGGGACAGCACAGGGGGCACTGGGGACAATGGGGGGAGTTGGGGGCAGTGGGGACAATGGGGGAGTTGGGGACAGCAGGGACAGCACGGGGGTGTTGGGGTCTTGGGGACACTGGGGACAATGAGGGGACAATGGGGGGATTTGGGGGCAGTGGGGACAGCACAGAGGGCACTGGGGACAATGGGGGAGTTGGGGATGGCAGGGACAGCACAGGGGTGTTGGGGTCTTGGGGACACTGGGGGCAGAAGGAGGTGTGGGGGACATTGGGAATATTGGGGGGACAACAGGGGCGCTGGGGACAGCAGGGGGAGTTGGGGACATCGAGAGCAACAGGGGGTGTTGGGGACATTGGGGGGACAACAGGGGTGTGGGGGACATTGAGGGGTGTTGGGGGCAACAGGGGGCATTGGGGGGCAACAGGGGGTGTTGGGGACAATGGGGACAGAGAGGGGAGTTGGGGACAGCGGGGACACACAGGGGGCGTTGGGAACATTTGGGGACATTGGGGGGCATGGGGCGGTGGGGGACAGGGGCACAGGACATGGGGGACACGTGGGGACAGGGGACAGGGACACGGGGCAGGGACAGAGGGGGGCACAGAGGAGAGCCAGGGGTCCCACAAAACCCCCAACCCCTCTCACCCCAAATCTCCCCCAGGCTCGGGGGTCCCCGCCAAGGCCGGGGGGGCTCTGAGGGAATTGTGGGGGGGGCAGGGCAGGGCGGGGACCCCCCCAGGGACCGCAGGGTTTGGGGGAGACACCCCCAAATTGGGGGGGAAAGGAGACCCCCGAGTCTGACCTGGGGGCTGGGGGAGACCCCAGAGGGGAAACAGGGGGGAAGGGTTCCCCAAATTTTGGGGAGGGGGGGGTGAATCCCCCAGCTGGGGGAGGGGAGGAGCAGAGGGGACCCCAAAACACGGGGGTGGGGGGGGGGGGCACCCAAAGGGACCCCCCTCCCTGGGCTGGGGACAGAGGAGCCCCCCGTTGCCCAGCAGGGGAGGGGACGGGACCCCCGAACCCTCCGAGGTGACACCGGGGGGACCCCAAATTTTGGGGGGGTCCCCAAAACCCCCCAACCAATGGGAGGGGGGGGGGGAACCGCAATCCCCCACAGCGGAGGGGTACGGGACAGAGCCCCCCCCCCATTCCCGGCAGCAGTAGCGGCGTCACCCCAGGGGAACCGAGGGATCCCCAGCGCGGGGGGGGCGGGAGGCGCCGCAGGCCCGGGGGAACGGGCGCCGGCGGTTGGGGGGTTACCGGGCCCGGTGCGGGAGGGAAGCGGAGCACCGGGGAGCCGCTGCAAGGGGCAGGGGCGCGGGTTCGGGGGCGGGGCAGGGGGGTCCGTGCCCGTACCGGGGGCCGGGGACGCTGCGCTGGGGCCGCGGCCGCTGCCGGAGCCGCTCCCGGGGCCGCCGCGCTCAGCGGCCATTCATTGTGCGGCAGGCGCGACCGGCCGAGCGCCGAGCGCGCCGCCCGCGCCTGCGCGACCAGCCGAGCGCCGAATCATCCACCCGCGCCGCCCGGTGACCACGCGGAGTTTTAAGGGTGGGAGAGGCGGAAAACGCGCGGGGAACGGGCGGGGAACGCGTGGGGAGCGCGAAGGAAAGGCGCGGGGTGCTGGCGCACCGTGTCCCGCGGGCGGGGTGCGGCGGGATCGGTTCCTCCCGGCGCCGCCGGCGGGCAATGCCGCGGGATGGCGTTTGGGAGAGGCGGGCGGAGGTTTTCTAACCCTGCGCGGCCGCCGTGGTCACGTGAGCGGCGCAAGATGGCGGCGCCCATGTGAGGGGAATGCGCGGTGCGGCGCGCGCGGGTGAGCGTGGGGGGGGACACGGAGGGGACAGAGGGGACAGGGGGGGACACGGAGGGGACAAGGAGAGCCCCGGAGGGCGCGGGGGGGGGACACACCGGGGGGTTTAACCCCCCCCGGCCTTGCCACGTGCTGGGGAGGGGGCGGCGTGGTGGGGGGGGCGGCGGGGGGGGTGGGGCTCGGTGCGACCCCCGGTCCCGGTTTTTGTGGGGGGGGGGGGGGAGTCTCTCCTTTCTCACGGGGCTTTTGTGTCCTCCCCGTTCTCCCATTCCCCGCCTCTTCCTCCCCTTTTCCGGGGGGGGGTCTCCTCCCCCTTTCCCGCCCTCCGGGGCCGAGCCCCAAATTCCGCTGTTTTTTTCCCCCAAAACCGCTCCGGTGCTGCCGTGGACCCCCCCCGGCACAGCCGCCGCACTCAGGACCCTCTGCAGAGCCCCCCCGGTGCCTCCCACCATGGACGGAGCCGCCTCCCCCAACGGGCGGTGGCGACCCCCGAGGGGCCGGGGGCGATCCCGGAGGGGTCGGGGGCGACCCCCGAGGGCTCGGCCGGACCCCCCCCAGAGCGAGGGGGAGCCCCCCCGGTACCGGCGAGACGCTGATCACCGAGGGCCGCGCCACCATCGTCTTCCCCAGCGCCAACGAGGTTTTCTACAACCCCGTGCAGGGCTTCAACCGCGACCTGACGTGAGCCGGGGGCGTCCTTGAGGGTCTTGGGGCGCTTTGGAGGAATTGAGGGGGGGCTTGGGGGGCTCTGGGAAGGTTCTGGAGGGCCTTGAGGGGGTCCTGGGGGCTCTGAGGGGATCCTGGGGGGCTTCTGAGGAGCTCTGGGGGATCCTGGGGGGATTTTGGGGGGGTCTGGGAAAGTTTTGGGGGGCCTTGAGGGGATCCTGGGGGGCTCTGGGAGGGTTTGGGGGGTTCTGGGGAGGGGTCCTGGGGGGCTCTCAGGGGGCTTGGGGGGCCTTTAGGGTCTCTGGAGGGTCCTGGGGGGGCTCTCGGGGGGCTTGGGGTGGGTCCTCTGGAGGGTCCTGGGGGGATTTTGGGGGTGATCCTGAGGGGGTTTTGGGGTCCTGGGCTGCCCCGGGGAGGTTTTGGGGTGATCCTGAGGGGGTTTTGGGGTCCTGGGCTGCCCCGGGGGGGTTTTGGTGTCTCTGCGCCCCCCTCAGGGGGTCCCTGACCCCCCCTTTTTTTCCCCCCCCCCCAGCTGCGCTGTCCTGACGGAATTCGCTCGGCTCTGGCTGCGCCCCAAAGGAATTCGGGGTACGGCGCCTTTGGGGAAGGGGAGGGGTCCCTGTCCCCCCTTTTCGGGGTCCCCTCACCCCCTCCTCTCTTTCCCAGTCGTTCTTCCCGGCGAGGAGGAGCCGGGGGGGAGCCCCCAGAGCCCCCCCGAGGCCGGGGACCCCCCAGGAGCCCCTGAGACCCCCGCGGACGGCGCGGCCGGGAGAGCCCTGCGAGGTGGGGAGGGGTCCTGGGGAGGGGTCTGGGGGTCCTGGGGGGGGGTCTTGGGTATCCCCTGACCCCATCCTGTGTCCCCAGAGGGGTCCTGAGCCCCCCCCTGTGCCCTCAAGGGGGGAGTTTGGGGGTCCCTGTGCTCCCCCAGGAGGTTCCTGAGCCCTCCTGTGCCCTTGGGGGAGTTTTTGGGGGGTCCCAGGCCACCCTGTGCCTCTGGAGGGGGGGGGGTCTCAGGCCCATCTGACCCCCCCATTGTACCCCCCCAGGGGGTTCCTGAGCCCCCCATAACCCCTCGGGGAGATTTTGGGGATTCCTGGGCACCCCCAGGGAGATTTTGGGGTGTCCCTGACTCCCCTCAGGGTGATTTTTGGGGTTCCCTTTGTCCCCTCAGGATGATTTTTTGGGGTTCCCTGTGTCCCCCAGGGGAGTTTTTTGGTGTTCCTGGGCCCCCCCCCGACCACCCCCAGGGAGGTTTTTGGGGTGTCCCTGACCCTCCCAAAGTGATTTTTGGGGTTTCCTTTTCCCCCCAGGGTGGTCTCTGTGTGCTGGAGGCCCTGGCAGCCTCGGGGCTCTGCTCTGTGTGCTTCACCTGGGAGGGATTTTGGGGTTCCCTGACCATCCCCAGGATGATTTTTGGGGTTCTCTGACCCTCCCAGGAGAGATTTTGGGGTCCCAGGATGATTTTTGGGGTTCGTTTTTCCCCCTCCCCAGGGTGGGCTCCGTGTGCTGGAGGCCCTGGCAGCCTCGGGGCTCCGCTCCGTGCGCTTTGCCCGGGAGGGGATTTTGGGGTTCCCTGACCCTCCCAGGAGGGATTTTGGGGTTCCAGGATGATTTTTGGGGTTCATTTTCCCCTCCCCAGGGTGGGGCTCCGTGTGCTGGAGGCCCTGGCAGCCTCGGGGCTCCGCTTCCGTGCGCTTTGCCCGGGAGGTTCCGGGGCTCGGGGCCATCGTGGCCAGCGACTGCTCCCCCCGGGCCACCGAGCTGATGGCGCGGAACGTGGCCAGGAACGGCGTGGAGGGGCTGGTGACACCACAGCTGGCTGATGCCAGGTGAGCCTGAACCCCAAAATCCCATTGGGGTTTGTGCCAGGTGAGCCTGAACCCCAAAATCCCATTGGGGTTGTGCCAGGTGAGTCCAAAACCCCAAATCCCATTGGGGTCATGGCAGGGGACCCCAAATCCCATTGGCGTTGTGCCAGGTGAGCCCAAACCCCAAAACCCCAAAATCCCATTAGGGTTGTGCCAGGTGAGCCTGAACCCCCAAATCCCCAAAATCCCATTGGGGTTGTGCCAGGTGAGCCCAAATCCCCAAAATCCCAATGGGGATTGTGCCAGGTGAGCCCAAATCCCCAAATCCCCAAAATCCCATTGGGGTTGTGCCAGGTGAGCCCAAACCCCAAATCCCCAAAATCCCATTGGGGTCATGGCAGGGCACCCCAAATCCCAATGGGGATTGTGCCAGGTGAGCCTGAACCCCAAAATCCCCAAAATCCCATTGGGGTTGTGCCAGGTGAGCCCAAATCGCATTGGGATCATGGCAGGTGACCCCAAACCCGAATAGAAATCACACCAGGTGACCCCAAACCCCATTGGGAATTGTTCCAGGTGACCCCAAACCCCCATTGGAATGGCACCAGGTGACCCCCAACCCCAATAGGGATTGTGCCAGGTGACCCCAAACTCACAAATCCCACTGGGGCCATGCCAGGTGACCCCAAATTCCAATTAGGATCAAACCAGGTGACCCCAAACCCCACTGGGAACGGGGCCAACCCCCCGACACTTCCTCAAGCGTGGCTGGGAGGTGTCCCCAAAGTGTCCCCATGAGCACCCCCTGCCCCACTTTGGGCTCTCTGCGGGGAGCCCCCAGACCCTTTTCCCCCTCAGAATTTACCCCAATATCCCCACAAGGTGCCAGGAGCCGCCCTGGCCCCCAAGCTGTGACCACACTGAGGGGATCCCAACCCCTGTGGGTGTCCCCTGAGGGTGCTGAGGGTTTTGGGGGGCTCTTTGGGGACCCCCAGGATGCTGATGTACCAAAGCAAAGCCCAGCGCCAGCCCTTCGACGTCATCGACCTGGATCCCTACGGGAGCCCCGCGCCCTTCCTGGACGCGGCCGTGCAGGCCGTCAGCGAGGGGGGTGAGTGAGTGTGGGCACCCCAAAACCCTCTGGGGACACCCAGACACCTTTGGGGACACCCAGATCCCCTTGGGGACACCCAGATACCTTTGGGGACACCCAGATCCCCTTAGGGACACCCAAATCCCTTTGGGGACAACCAAACTCCTTTGGGGACACCCAAATCCCTTCAGGGACACCCAAAACTATCTTGGGGAGTCCCAAACCCCTTTAGGGACACCCAAATCCCTTTGGGGACACCCAGATCCCTTTGGGGACACCAAAACCCCCCTCATGGACCCCTCAAAACCACTTCAGAGAGCCCCCAAATCCCTTTAGGGGCCCCCAAACACCTTTAGGGACACCCAAACACCTTTGGGGACACCCAGATCCCCTTAGGGACACCCAAACTCCTTTAGGGACACCCAGACACCTTCAGGGACACCCAAACCCCTTCAAGGACACCCAAACACCTTTAGGAACAACCGAACCCCTTCAGGGACACCCAAATCCCTTCAGGGACCCCCAAATCCCTTCAGGGACCCGCGAACACCTTCAGGGACACCCAAACCCCTTTGGGGACACCAAAAGCCCCTTAGGGATACCCGGATCCCCTTAGGGACACCCAAATCCATCTCGGGGAGCCCCAAACCCCTTTGGGGACAACCAAACCCTTTTAGGGACACCCAAACCCCTTTGGGGACACCCAAAACCATCTTGGGGACACCCAAAACCTCTTTAGGGCCCCCTCAAACCCCCTCATGGACCCTTGCCCCCAGAACCACCTCAGGGAGCCCCAAAACCACCTTTAGGGACCCCCCCCAAACCCCTTTAGGGACACCCAAAACCCCCTTGGGGAGCCCCTAAACACCTTCAGGGACCTCAAACCCCTTTAGGGACTCCCAAAACCCCCTTTGGGACACCTCAGACCCCCTCAGGGACGCCCCCAGAACCACCTCAGGGAGCCCCTAAACACCTTCAGGGACCCCCAAAACTCCCTTTGGGACCCCAAACCCCTTTAGGAACACCCAAAACCCCCTCGGGGAGCCCCTAAACACCTCCAGGGACCCCAAACCCCTTCAGGGACCCCCCCTGCACCCCGATTTTGCAGGTCTGCTGTGCGTCACCTGCACGGACATGGCGGTGCTGGCCGGCAACAGCGCCGAGACCTGCTACAGCAAATACGGCGCCGTGTCCCTCAAGGGCAAGTTCTGCCACGAGATGGTCGGTGCTGGGGGGTGGCCAGGGGGAGGAAGGGGGCTTCAGGGGGTGGCACACGTGTCCCTTCGTGTCCCTTTTGTCCCCTGGCAGGCGCTGAGGATCGTCCTGCACAGCCTGGACCTGCGCGCCAACTGCTACCAGCGCTTCGTGGCGCCGCTGCTGTCGGTCAGCGCCGATTTCTACGTGCGCGTCTTCGTCAGGGTCTTCACGGGCCAGGCCAAGGTCAAGGCTTCGGCCAGGTGAGTTTGGGGAGGGGTTTTGGGGGTCTTTGTGCACCCCCAAACTCGCCCTGATCCGGGGTTTTTCCCCCCAGCAAGCAGGCGCTGGTGTTTCACTGCACGGGGTGCGGCTCGCACCACCTGCAGCGCCTGGGCAGGGCCAGCAGCCACGGCAGCAGGTACAGACCCCACATCCCTCCCCACATCCCTCCCCATAGAGGTTTTGGGGTTCAAGACCCCCTCAGGGGGTTCCCACGATTTGGTTTTTGTGGTTTTGGGGGGGTTTAACCACTTTTCCCCGCCTTAGCTTCAAGTACAGCCCGGCCACGGGACCCGCCTGTGGGTCCCACCTGCGAGTTCTGCCAGCAGCGCCACCAGGTGCGTGCAGCCCCCTCCCCAAAAAAAAACCCCCAAAAAAGGCCCTGAACCCCCTTTTTTCCCTCCTAAAGGTGGGGGGCCCTGTGTGGGCTGAGCCCCTGCACGACCCCAGCTTTGTGGAGGGGGTGCTGGCGGCGCTGGAGAGGAGCCCCGGGCGCTTCCAGACGGAGCCGCGCATGCGGGGGATGCTGAGCGTCATCGCCGAGGTGACGCCAAAAGGGGGCGGCCCTGGGGGGGCACAGGGGACGCCCCTCGATGGGGACAGCCCTGGGGGGCGCAGGGGACGCCCCTCGATGGGGACAGCCCGGTTTTGGGGCTGGCTGTGACGCTGGGGGGTGTTGGTGGGGCAGGAGCTGAGCGATGTCCCCCTGTACTACACCCTGGACGGGCTGAGCAGCACCGTCCGCAGCAACACGCCGGCGCTGCTGCAGCTCAGGTGGGCACCCAAAACCCCTCGGGGAGCCCCCAAATCCCTTTACAGACACCCAAAACCTCCTCATGGAACCCTCCCAAACCCCCTCGGGGAGCCCAAATCCCTTCAGGAACACCCAAAACCCCCTCGGGGAGCCCTGAGCCCTTTAGGGATCCCAAAACCCCCTCGGGGAGCCCAAACCCCCTCAGGGACCCCAAAACCCCCTCGGGGATCCCCAAACCCCCTCACAGAAACCCCTGAAACCCCCTCAGGGAGCCCAAATCCCTGCAGGGATCCCAAAACCCCTTCATAGAAACCCCCAAAACGCCCTCGGGGAGCCCAAATCCCTTTAGGGACACCCAAAACCCCCTCATGGAACCCCGCAAACCCCCTCGGGGAGCCCAAATCCCTTCTGGGACCCCAAACACTCTCATGGAACCCCCCCCAAACCCCATCCTAGCCCCCCCAAACCTCCTCAGACTCCCCTCAAATCCCCTCGGGGATCCCCCAAATCCCATCCTGGTCCCCCTAAACCCCCTCAGGGATCCCCCAGACCCCATCCTAGCTCCCCCAATCCCCATCCTGGGCCCCCCAAACCCCATCCCGGCCCCCCCAAACCTCCTCAGACTGCCCCAAACCCCTTCGGGGATCCCCCAAATCCCATCCTGGTCCCCCAGTCCCTGTCCTGGACTCCGTCCTGGCCCCCCCAAACCTCCTCAGACTGCCCTAAACCCCCTCGGGGATCCCCCAGTCCCCATCCTGGCCCCCCCAAACCCCATCCCAGCCCCCCCAAAGCCCCTCAGGGATCCCCCAAATCCCATCCTGGCCCCCCCAATCCCCATTCTGTCCCCCCCAATCCCCACGCTGGCCCCCCAGGTCGGCCCTGCTGCACGCGGGGTTCCGCGTCTCGCTGTCCCACGCCTGCCGCAACGCCGTCAAGACGGACGCGCCGCCGGCCGTGCTCTGGGACATCATGCGCTGCTGGGTCAGTGAGGAGGGGGCTCTGGGACCCCTCCCCACGCTCGGGAGAGGGGGGGGCTGAGTTCCCCTTTTTCCCACCTCCTTTCTTCCCAATTTTCCCCAATTTTCCCCCATTTTTTCCCATTTTTCCCCAGGCCAAGCTGCACCCGGTGAAGCTGGAGCGGCTCCCGGACTCCAGCCCGGCCGCCCGGATCCTCTCGGTGGAGCCCACGTAGGACCCCCGGGGTGGGGTTTGGGGGCGACCCCAGACCCATTTTGGGAGACCCCAGACCCCCCCAAAGCCCCTGACCCCCTCCTTTACCCCCCCTTTCCCAGGCTCCAGGCTTCCTTTGCCCTCCACGAGGACGCCAACCCCAGCTCCCGCAGGCGCGGCCTCAAGAGGTTCCCCGAGAACCCCGAAGCTTTTTGGGGTCCCAAGGCCAGGGCCAAGCCCGGGTGAGGCCTGGGGGGGGCTCAGTTTGGGGGTTCAGGCGCCCCCCACCCCTTTTAAGGGGGACATTCCCCCCTTTTTTCACTCGGGGTGGGGCAGAAACTCCCCTAAAAAGAGCTCGGGGTTCATCCCTTCCCCCTGTGCTTTTTTTTGGGGGGGGTCCCTCACCTTCTCCCCTTTTTGGGGAGGGGTCCCTCACCCTCTGCCCTATTTTGGGGTGGGGTCTCCACCTCATTCCCATCCTTTCCAGGGGGGGCATCGCCCCCTCCCTGCAGGAGAAGAGGGAGAGGCTCCAGAACAAGAGGAGGCAGCGCCGGGACGGGGCCGGGCTGAAACAATTCCCCTGCAAACGCTTCAAGGAGGTGGGGAGGGGTCCCCAAAATATGGGGAAGGGGTCCCCAAAATATGGGGAAGGGGTCCCCAAAATATGGAGGGGGATCCCTCCAAAATATGGGAATAGAGGGCGGGGGGGTTTGCAGGAAATAAAGGGAGAACTAAAACGGGGAATAAATAAAATGGGGAATAAATATAATGGGGAATAAAAGCAGGGGTGGGAATTTTGGGGGGAAATTTTGGGGGGAATTTGAGGAGGGGTCTGTGAATGCAGAGGGGGGGTCCTGAACACAAAGGGGGGGTTTGGGGCAGGTTTAACCCCCCCCTCCCCATTTTTGCCCCCTCCCCACAGGGCACCTGTCCCCAAGGCGAGCAGTGCTGTTACTCCCACCACGAGCCCCCTCCCCATTAAAACAAATTTTTTTTACCCAAACTCGTGGGTTTTGAAATTCGCTTTTTTTTTTGGGTTTTTTTTTTGGGGTGGGGGGCGTCTCTCAGGGCCCCTCCCCAAGCCCCCGGTACCGCACAGAGGCCAGGAAGGTCCTGATCTCCATCGGCTGCAGCCGCACGCGCCGAGGGTCCAGCCTGGCTCTGGGGGTACCTGGGGGGGGCGTCAGGGGGGTGAGACCCCCGGGACCCTCCCCAAAATCCCCCCCCCCAAAGACCCCCCCCCCCATACCTGTGGGGGTGTTCCAGAGCAGGCGGGACAGGCTGGGCAGGGGCACGTCCCCCCCCAGGGCCATCTCCTGCACTGAGGTGATGGTGAAGGCCGAGAAAAGGGTCTGGGGGAGATGGGGGGGGGGTGAGACCCCTCCTCAAATAGCCCAGAGACCCCAGAGTTCCCCCCAGAGACCCCAAAGACCAGCCCAGGGTAGGGGGAAAGGGCAGAGACCCCTCCCCAAATACCCCAGAGCTCCCCACAATGAGCAGCTTGGACTGGGGGGGGTGTGTGAGACCCCTCCTCAAATACCCCAGAGCCCAGCCTGGGGTGGGGGCAGAGGGCAGAGACCCCTCCCCAAATACCCCAGAGCTCCCCCCAAAGACCAGGCCAGGGTGGGGGGGATGTTGAGACCCCTCCCCAAATACCCCACCCCAGGGGGCTGCAGGAGGGAGGGACCACCTGGAGCAGCCTCAGGACCCCCAAAACCCCTCACCTGGCACAGGTGACCCCAGAACCCCTCACCTGGCACAGGTGACCCCACAAGCTCAGCCCCCCCCCAGCCCCCATGCCCAGGTGTGCCCCCTGCCCAGGTGTGCCCCCATGCACAGGTGGGCCCCATACCCAGGTGTGCCCCTGTCCCCAGCTGTGCCCCTGTCCCCAGGTGTGCCCCATGCCCAGGTGTGCCCCTGTCCCCAGCTTTGCCCCTGTCCCCAGGTGTGCCCCATGCCCAGGTGTGCCCCATGCCCAGGTGTGCCCCATACCCAGGTGTGCCCCTGTCCCCAGGTGTGCCCCTGTCCCCAGGTGTGCCCCCATTCCCAGATGTGCCCCCATGCCCAGCTGTGCCCCATGCCCAGGTGTGCCCCATGCCCAGGTGTGCCCCATCCCCAGGTGTGCCCCATACCCAGGTGTGCCCCATTCCCCAGGTGTGCTCCATACCCAGGTGTGCCCCTGTCTCCAGGTGTGCCCTTGTCCCCAGGTGTGCCCCAACCCCAGGTGTGCCCCATGCCCAGGTGTGCCCCATACCCAGGTGTGCCCCATCCCCAGCTGTGCCCCATGCCCAGGTGTGCCCCACGCCCAGGTGTGCCCCTGTCCCCAGGTGTGCCCCATTCCCCACGTGTGCCCCATACCCAGGTGTGCCCCATACCCAGGTGTGCCCCATTCCCCAGGTGTGCCCCATACCCAGGTGTGCCCCATTCCCAGGTGTGCCCCTGTCCCCAGGTGTGCCCCATACCCAGGTGTGCCCCCATCCCCAGCTGTGCCCCTGTCCCCAGGTGTGCCCCATCCCCAGGTGTGCCCCACGCCCAGGTGTGCCCCTGTCCCCAGGTGTGCCCCATTCCCCAGGTGTGCCCCATCCCCAGCTGTGCCCCTGTCCCCAGGTGTGCCCCATGCCCAGCTGTGCCCCATGCCCAGGTGTGCCCCTGTCCCCAGGTGTGCCCCTGTCCCCAGGTACCGTCAGGTCCACGGTGGCGGGCCGGGAGCCGTTCTGGCTCTCCCCCACCTGGTACAGGTGCTCCAGGCGCAGCAGGACGGCCCCGGCCCCGCGCGGCTCCAGCGACAGCAGGTGAACGTTGGGGGGCAGCGCCCGGCGCAGCCCCGACACCTGCGGGGACAGGTGAGGGTGAGGGGGACCTGCCCTGCCCACCTGGTACAGGTGAGAGTGAGGGGGAACCTGCCCTGCCCACCTGGTACAGGTGAGAGTGAGGGGGAACCTGCCCTGCTCACCTGGTACAGGTGAGAGTGAGGGAGAACCTGCCCTGCCCACCTGGTACAGGTGAGGGTGAGGGGGAACCTGCCCTGCCCACCTGGTACAGGTGAGGGTGAGGGGGAACCTGCCCTGCCCACCTGGTACAGGTGAGGGTGAGGGGGAACCTGCCCTGCTCACCTGGTGCAGGTGAGGGAGAACCTACCCTGCCCACCTGGTACAGGTGAGGGTGAGGGGGAACCTGCCCTGCCCACCTGGTGCAGGTGAGGGTGAGGGGGAACCTGCCCTGCTCACCTGGTGCAGGTGAGGGAGAACCTACCCTGCCCACCTGGTACAGGTGAGGGTGAGGGGGAACCTACCCTGCCCACCTGGTACAGGTGAGAGTGAGGGGGAACCTGCCCTGCCCACCTGGTGCAGGTGAGGGTGAGGGGGAACCTGCCCTGCTCACCTGGTGCAGGTGACCCCAGAACCCCTCACCTGGTACAGGTGACCCCATACCCACCCCTCACGTGGTGCAGGTGACCCCAGAACCCCTCACCTGGTTCAGGTGAGGCTGTGGGGGGAGCCTGCCCTGCTCACCTGGTACAGGTGACCCCAGAACCCCTCACCTGTCCCAGATGACCCCCCCCAGCTGAGCCTCTCCCTCCTCACCTGTCACAGGTAACCCACACCCCCATTCCCAGGTGTGACCCCAATTTCCAGGTATGACCCCCCCCCCATTCCCAGGTGTGACCCCCATTCCAGGTGTGACCCCAATTCCCAGGTGTGATCCCCATTCCCCACACCCCCATTCCCAGGTGTGACCCCCCCCAATTCCCAGGTGTGACCCCCCCCCCATTCCCAGGTGTGACCCCCATTCCCCACACCCCCATTCCCAGGTGTGACCCCCATTCCCCCCCACGCTCACCTGTCTCAGGTGAGGCCCCGTGCTCGGTGCCAGCACCAGGGTGGGCGGCGTCGCCATCTCCTGTGCCCGCGGCCGGTGCTGCTCAGGTGCGTCCCCCACCGTGTCCAGCAGCACCAGGTGCCGCCCCCGCACCACCAGGCCCCGCCCATCCGCACCTGGCTCGTCCAGCGCCTCCCCCAGGCCGCGGTTGTCGTCGTGGAGCAGCCGCCGGTGCACCTGGAGGAGGGGCGCAGGTGATGGCACAGGTGTGCCCAGAGTGTGCCCAGGTGAGTGCCCAGAGTGTGCCCACCCCTGCCCGGGTGTGCCCAGGTGTGCCCAGAGTGTGCCCACCCCTGCCCGGGTGTGCCCTCCATGGGGTCAGCCCTGCCCAGGTGTGCCCAGGTGTGCCCAGACTGTGCTCACCCCTGCCCAGGTGTGCCCAGAGTGTGCCCACCCCTACCCAGGTGTGCCCTGTCCAGCCCTAAGTGTACCCACTTGTGCCCAGGTGTGCCCAGGTGAGTTCCCAGGTGTGCTCAGGTGTGCACAGAGTGTGCCCACACCTACCCAGGTGTGCCCAGGTGAGTTGCCAGGTGTGCTCAGGTGTGCACAGAGTGTGCCCACGCCTACCCAGGTGTGCCCAGGTGTGCTCAGGTGTGCCCAGAGTGTACCCACCCCTGCCCAGGTGTGCCCAGGTGAGTTCCCAGGTGTGCTCAGGTGTGCACAGAGTGTGCCCATGCCTACCCAGGTGTGCCCAGGTGTGCTCAGGTGTGCCCAGAGTGTACCCACCCCTGCCCAGGTGTGCCCAGGTGAGTTCCCAGGTGTACCCACCCCTACCCAGGTGAGTACCCAGGTGTGCCCAGGTGAGTTCCCAGGTGTGCCCACCCCTGCCCAGGTGTGCCCAGGTGAGCTCACCATGAGCTCCAGGGAGCCGTCCTGGAGGCTGCTGCCGCCCTGGGACCGATCCGTCAGCACCGTCAGCTGCACCTTCTGGTCCTGCGCAGGTGGCACAGGTGTGAGGAGGGCGGGGCGGGGCTCGCGTGTGCCACGCCCACCTCCAGCTGTGCCCAGGTGTGCCCAGGTGTGCACCTTGATGAAGATCCGGGTGGTCACAGGGTAGTAATTCCCAGCCACGGGCTCAGTCTGGGTCAGGTTCCAGGTGGGCCGGAAGTCACGCCTGGGGAGGGGGGGACAGGGGGGGTCACCTGAGCCCCTTGGGGAGGATCCTGGGGATCACCTGAGCCCCTTGGGGTGACACCTGAGCCCTTGGGGGTGGTCCTGGGGGTCACCTGTTCCCCTGGGGGGGTCACCCGCGCCCCTCACCTGCGCTCCAGCACCTGGCGCCCGTTGGAGTCGGTGTAGAAGCGCCCGGCCGTGCGCAGCGGGGTCTCGAACCTGCTGATCACCTCCTTGCCCAGGCCATCCCTGGCGTGGGGAGAGCACAGGTGAGTCACCCCCCCACAGGACAGGTGTGTGGGGGGCGGTCCCCAGACCCCTCCCCACGCTCACCCCACGGGGATGGGCCCCACTGTCCACTCCAGCTCCAGGTAAGGCTGCCCCGGGCGCAGCCGCAGCACCTGCGAGCACCACTCCGAGAAGTTCTGCTGCAATTCCTGCACCAGCGCCGTCTGTGGGGCACAGGGAAACGCTCAGTGACACCTGCAGACCCCTCCCCAAATCCCAGGGACGCCCCAGGGACCCCAGCCCACCTTGAGCAGGTGCGTGGCCGCGCGTTTGGCCACGGGGACGGGCGTGGGGGCGCCGGGCCGGAAGATGTAAGCACCTGAGGCCTGGGGGCTGAGCGCATCCCCGGCGCTGGCGTTGTACCTGAGGGGTCAGGGGGGGTCAGGAGGGGTCAGGAGGGGTCAGGGGGGGTCAGGGGGATCCTCCCTCCCCACCTGGGACCCCTCCCCAAAATCCAAACCCGCCCAGACTCACCAGTAGAAGCTCTGGAAGACGGGCAGGGAGATGCCCTTGGGCAGGTTCTGGATCTCCAGCAGGTGCCCCGTGATGGGGTCAAAACGGACACGCAGGTGCTGGACAAGAGGGGGGGACACACACAGGTAGGTGACCCCCTCCCCACCTGCCCAGGTCACCCAGTGACCCCTTAACTGGTTTAACTGGGAGCTGGGGGGCTCAGCCACCCCCCCCCAAATCCACCATGTCCCCTCCTCACCTCGTTCTCGA